AACTGCCCCACTGCACTTCCTAATAATTGGCCTCCCAAGCAGAGACTCCAGCATTCGAAAGACAAACGCCTAACTTGTTTACAGGGCTCTGACTTCTGACATCATAACTTGAGTTATTCTGAACTTGTCATGTACACGTGGGCTAAAAATGACATTAGGATTTTGTCTATGTGAATTTGTTATTGCAGTATGAATTCTGGCTGTTTTGAAATTTACACTACACACTGAAAGTACTTCTCATTCATATCCAACTAGTATACAATGAATCTGCATGTAAGTGACTTAAAGTCAACTTATTTCCAGGAAAGCTCAATTCCTTCCCTTTTATTATATTTACTTTGAAATAATGAACAATGAGTTTAATGCTTTAATGGAAACTGTTGGGTTTGAGCTGTGCTCTAAAGATAACTCGCTGCTAGCAGGCAGCTTTGAGAAAGTCTGAATCATTCTGAGTGCATAAGCAAATGAAGAACAGTTGTACTGAAAACATAGTCTAGAGGTTTTTTCTTGAGAAACAAATTCTGATTTCAAGGGAAAAGTGTGATCTGAAGCACAAACAGAAAGCTCACCTTCCCCAGAATTGCACATTTTCCAGCTGTAATCGATTCAAAATGCTTCTTTCTTTGGATGCCAAATACTTAGTGCGCCACAGAAATAATTTAACAATGTTCAAGAGCAATTTAACACACTGAGGAAGCTGAAAGCAGAAGTTAGAACCTGGATGAAAAGTTACATTTCATGAGAGTATAAAATAAGCCTGTTCAAAACATTTGAAATAAGCATGATATTAAAAAGCGAGTTAGCAGAAAGCATAACATTTTAAGGATTATGATTTTTTAAAAAATTCTGTTTTTTCCAAATACGTTTTGTTTGTTATTTATTTGACCATAGTCCTTTACAGTCCAGGTGATTTCAGTTCCCCTTACTACAGGTGCTATAATGCAGAGACTAGCGAGGATTGGATGCCTTGAAGGGCTGAAAACTCAAGCAGACTTGAAAGATGGCACATGAGGGAAAGGAACGATTACATCCATTTTGAGATGAGTATCTGGAAACAGGTGAATAGAGTGATTTGCTCAAAGTTAAAGTAAATTTGTTGCAGAGCTCAGGCAGAATTTGAACTTTCTGAGTTGATGACTGACATGCCAGAAGGACGGGAGGTCATCCAAAGAGACCTAGACAAGCTGGAGAGGTGGGCCTGTGTGAACCTCATGAGGTTCAACAAGGCCAAGTGCAAGGTCCTGCACATGGGTTGGGGTAACCCCTGGTATCAATACAGATGGGGGATGAAAGGATCGAGAGCAGCCCTGCTGAGAGGGACTTGGGGGGGTGGGTGGATGAAAGGCTGGACATGAGCCGGCAATGTGCACTGGCAGCCTAGAAGGCCAACCGTACTCTGGGCTGCATCGGGAGAAGTGTGGCCAGCAGGTCGAGGGAGGGGATTCTGCCCCTCTACTCTGCTCTGGTGAGACCCCACCTAGAGTACTGCGTCCAGCTCTGGAGCCCTCAGCACAAGAAGGACATGGAACTGTTGGAGCAGGTCCAGAGGAGGGCTACAAAAATGATGTGAGGGCTGGAGCACCTCTCCTATGAGGACAGGCTGAGGGAGTTGGGCTTGTTCAGCCTGGAGAAGAGAAGGCTGCAGGGAGACCTGATTGCGGCCTTTCAGTACCTAAAGGGGGCCTATAGGAAAGATGGGGACAATCTTTTTAGCAGGGCTGGTCGTGACAGGACAAGGGGTAATGGTTTTAAACTAAGCCAGGGTAGGTTTAGACTGGATATAAGGAAGAAATTCTTGACAATGAGGGTGGTGAGACACTGGAACGGGTTGCCCAGAGAGGTGGTGAAGGCCCCATCCTTCCTGGGAGGGAAGCCCCAAATAGAAACATTAAAGGCCAGGTTGGACAGGGTTCTGAGCAACCTGATTGAGTTAAAGATGTCCCTGCTCACTGCAGGGGGGTTGGGCTAGGTGACCTCTAAAGGTACTTTCCAACCCAAAACATTCTATGATTCTATAAATTATTCTCATCACTAGGCTGGGTCCTTCCCATGCACAGATCTGCTGTGAAAACAAGTCACTTTATGTCCAAATTTTTGTCTTCTAAATGGGAATTATGTCTGTGAATAGGCAAGTAGCAAACGTTGTCTCCACCCAAGGCCCATGCCTTCTTCTCTCCTACAGAAAGAACAGCTTTCCTCCTGTGGCTCCAACCTGTGCCCCGCGTGCTCGTTTCTTGCAGTCCCACTGAAAAAACTGAATTCAGAAAGAAAAACCCAAAGGACATAAAAATATAGAAGGTTGTAAATTATCTTGGTGCTACATTGCTTCCTCACATAGCTGCCGTTTCATACCACACCTAGTCATTGAGAATCAATAATTCTCCACGCTGTTAATGTTTGAGCCTTTGAACCTCTAGGGTGAGTCTGAGGAACTATAAACTGTGTGGATAAGCACAGAAGGACGGTACCAACCTGCACAAAGGTGATTCCCGCAGCTGAAAGAAAGGAGCATTTTTAGAGCAAAATAAGCTTTTCATGGTACAGGTAAGGGATGATCTAACTGTCATTTCACTGAAAGATTTTAAAAGCTGAAGCAAGGGTTTTGCTGAAGGATTTTCTGGCAGTGTTAGGAACTCAGCTGTCCTTGTAAAATGGATGACTGCTGTGCTAAGGCTTAGTCCTTAGTCTGGTTTGTATTTGATTTGGATCAATTTCCTCTGTTTTCTCTTTACTGAATTTGAACATCTGAAATCAATCATTTAAAGAAAATCAACTTTTTTTTTTTAATGGAACCAAATACTTGTGATTGTTACTGATCTTTAACCGCCGGGAATATTCTCTGTTCTCTGAATGTTTATTATTGAAAGTCACTGGGGTATTTGTATGTTGGTTATCCTAGAGATTTCTGTTCAGGCAGGGGAACCATAAGGGATTATTAGGGATATAGCACTGATGAAACTAAGAAATGAAGGGGAAAATATGGCTCCAGACCTCAACCAGATCTCAGGCTCCTTTTTGTTAAGCTCATCCTATTCTAATCCTGAAACTGTCTCTTATTAAAAACTTTTGTATGAGTGTATATATACTGGAACTCTATTCTGAGTGACAGAGGAGTATGTATTTTGGGGCTTTGGTCCTTGGCAGTGCAATGCTTCATGAGACTTGGTAGCAGCTTCCAGGCAAAAATGAATGTTGATCGGCTGATCAAGCCGCACTCATCCTGGCCTCGCAACAAGAACAACATTAGGGAATGATACTTACATTCAAAGAGAAGGGAACAGCAACGGCACTTATCACGCAAACCCATAACCTACGGAATGGCTGTATTTCCACTGCTGTGTTTCGTAGCTGGATCTGGACAAGGGCAGCTGGCCGAGACACAGCGCAGTTGGCCAGTCCCATGAAGGAGTGCTTTTCCTTTAATTTTCTCCTCACCATAGTAGGTCTTGCTCCCTCTGTTTTCCTTGAATCCAGACCATAGTATCCTCAGACCACCCCTACCCTTTTTCCTCATCTTCTGCTGCCTCCTCCTAGGACTTTTAGCTCCCTGGTGTCCCTCCACCATCTTGTCCCTCCACCACCGGCTGTGCCTCCCCTGGCGGGGCAGACGGAACCACGCAGGCAGTCGCTGGGCACACACTGCAACCTTACCCTTGGGGGAAGGCACTCCTTTGGGTCCTCTGTCCAGCCTGCCATTCCAAATTAATATGGAATTAGTTTTTTGAAGTTCCCACCTTGCTATTAAGTGCGGCTGAAACAGGCCAATGTATTCAGAAGAGAACGGGAGGAGGGGAGCAGAGAGGCTGTCATGCAGATAGAGGAACTGAATGAATTTTCATCTATTATCTAACTGTAATATGAGCAACAGTCTTGGTTCAAAGTGTCTTCTCAGGAGGTTCAAAGTGTTTTCTCTACCCCTCTTCTTTGCCTGTGCCAGGCCCCGGCTCCTCTGGCTGCAGGCAGCTACAGGGGCTTCACCTTCAGCCCTTGTTTCCTGACAAATTTAATTGTTTTCCTGATCACCTCTGGTTTCAAAAGAATGTAATTTTATTTTCTTCCAGTACGCACACAGCTAGCTCCTGCCCAAGGAAAGATGCCAGTAATTTCAAAGGATGCAATTGCACACACAGTAAGACCTTGCTCAGGATGGAATTTGCAAGCTGAAGTCCTGTGGCACGTCCTAAAATTAGTACTGGAGACCACAGCAGTGTGGGCACAGTTTCTATATTTACAGGTCCCCTTTTTGGCCGTTGAGGACAGAAAAGTTGGGCAGGGGGGAAAAGTATGATGGGAAGTCCAAGCCGGAGGGCATCTGGAGGGAGTTGTGCCTCCACACTGTTGTATTCTCCTTGGGAGCCTCCATAGGACAGAGCTGTGGTGGCTGAAGGATACCTGTAGGTGTGAGCCAAGTAACACGGAGCACCACTGAAGATGGCAGCACTGGATGCCAGCTTCACTTCTCTCCAAGAAACAGCCTCGTCCTTTTTATTAAAATCTAGAAGTAGTGAGAAAGCAAGATTTCATTTTTGAGGAACTCATCTAGCTTCCAGGAGGATGTTGCAACACAAGTTGCTGCAGTATGTGCTCAGCATTTTTTTGAAATTTGAGGCAGGCAGTGCTCCTTGGACTTGTTTTAGGGGGTGCAGACGCCTCTGGCTTCCTCTGCCTTTTCAAGCTGCACTGAACAGGTGGTTTTTTTTTTGTCACCAGAAGACAGAGGCCTCCGGATGTCCCTGCAAGACCTTCACCTTCTTATTGTTTTAGTGTTTCCTGTGACCATGTTGTTGCCTTCAGTAAAGCAGAAATGAAAACGGGGCTTGCGTGACAAAGAATCATACATTGCAACAGTGAGGTTGCATGGCTTGAAGTTTTGTGCCGGTTTCAACCTCTGGAAGCTGTTTGAGGCTCTCATGGCATGCCGCACCTCCTGCACTGCTGGGGACAAACCTGGTGGGCACGACCTTCCGGGCCAGACCAGCAATACCAGCGCTATTGACTCCCATGGGCAGAGCAGCGCCTGGTCCTTCTGAGCTCACGCCTCAGCTGCTCCCTCCCTACAGTTTGGGAAAAGCTTAGCCTTTATTCGCAAATAGATTGGGCCAACCCTCGGGCTTAAAGTGACTATCCCCTCTTCTTTGCAGGATCTGAAGCAAAGCATATGACAGTATGTTGAAGCTGTGTGGACTTCAGTTTCTGCTCATCGTTCCCTTGGTGAGTTACAGCTTTTCTGGGAGCAAATGGCAAAGGTTGCCTGTGAGCCTCTGAGCTCTGACCCGCGGGGCGTCCCTGTCTGCAGGTCTGGCTGGCAGCGCGTGTAACTCTGGGTGTGGGAGTGCAGCCCCGACACGTGGGTGACCCCATGGCCAAAAGTTAAGAAGATGTGTCAATCATTAGGAAAAAAGAAATTAAAAAACCTAGAAGAAACCAATTTACCTACTTTGCCTCTTGTAGTTCCTCCTTTAGATACTAATTTTTGCAGTAAGTGGATTTCATCCTAGAAAAGATTTAAAAATACTGCAACAAACCACTAAACATTGAAGACATTGGGATCATGTGTATTATAATCCATACCTGTGCTGGCATATTAATTGTATTCTAAGACATGTAATGGCACATAGTTTAAACCATGCATATTAATTTTTTATCCTCATTATTCCATCTATGTGAGTCCCTTTTCTGATGATTTTCTGGAACTGAAATGTATTAATTATGCTATTTTTGGACCTCATCTATTAAAGTAAATAGATTTACTGATGTCTGTGCAGGCTATGGTGGTGGCTTCTACTTTACAATTGAAATGAACAGAAAAGATTAAAAAAAAGAGTAAAAGTCAAGTCTACAAAAAAAATTCCTCAGAATATGGAGACCCCGGGGGTAGGGTTGATGTGCAGTAGCGAGTACCTCCTTTTTCCTTCCCATTTCAGGCATTGCTGCCTATGGCAGTGCCGATCCCCATGACGCCACTCTGCAGTGGTTCCAGCTGTCTTCAGAAGGGATGCCAGCCGGATACAGGCCAAGGAGAAAGCCCTATGTCCCCTCCAGGCCCCTGAGTAGTGATTCATGCTGTAGACATATGTTTGGATATATTTATGGTCCACATAAAGTAATTTTAATCAACAGGAAGAGATAGCTCTTACTTGCTTCAGAGCCTGCACTTTGAACCTGTTGGGTTTTATAGCATCAGCCTTTGTTCCTCTGTGGCGAGGAACATGACCAAGCAAAACCTCTCCACAAAATGGCCCTGGGAAAAACCTCCAGGAGCCAGGTTGTGCCCACCAGTGTGACACGGGAACAGCTGTAGCAGGTCAGATCCAGGGTCCTGCTATCTTGTTCCTGGCAGAGGCCAGCAGTCAGCATTTACCAAAAAATAGTAAAAGGTAGCTGTAAAGTGCTCTTTCCTGCTATGTGTACCTATTAGATGGCTTTTGTAGATATTTTTCTACTGTTGCCAGTGTTCACTAGTATCCCTTCCCCCTCCTTCTCCAGTTCTCGTAATATTCTAGTTTTCCTGTTTGCAAAAAGAGTCACAAACCCTGGTAGGGGAGGAGTGCAGCATCTGCTATTATTGAGCAGAATCTGGCATTATTCAAACAGCACTTGTGACACACACACACACAGAGCAGCCCTTTAGGGTAAATTGCGCTGAACTTAGCTATGCTTTTGTCATAGCCAGAATTAAGTTTTCCCTTGGTATTATGTAAGCCGTGCTTTTCTGTGAGAGGCCGAATAGCTGTCCCAGCGGCACTAGGACCAAATCCAGGGGAAAAGTCATGCAGCAGAGAGCATGCGCTCCCGGAGCCCGACTCCGTGGGGCGATGGACAGGGTGGCAGAGGCACTCCAAATCTATAAAGCAGAATAAAGTCATTTTTACAGTAGAAGAAAGGGAGTTTTACCTGAGCGGCCAAATGATGGAGCCCTAATTCTGGAAGGCAGCTCCACAGCATTGGCAAGACCTCGGTGATGGGGAAAGAAGAGTAGACATTCGGGGGGTTTGGTCTTGCCTTTGGAGGAATGGGTAGATTATCTGAGCTGAAGGCTGAATTGTCTTGTGTGCAAGGCCTGCTCTAGGAAGCTGATTTTTGCTTTGCTTTTTTTTGTTTGAAAGCAAGAACAGCCCTGAAACATTAGGACAGGAGTGTGTCCAGAGGTCTTTGGGCACTAGGGAGGGGGTGCTTATAAAACTCATACAAAGCTCATTAAAAATATACTAGAAAAACCACCATGTGAAGGCATGGCCAGCCATTGGGAAGAAAACAGAGGCCAAGACAGATTTGCGTGGCATTTTTGCTATGAGGTAGAAGCCGAAGATCAGCAGGACATGTTTGCTCTGTCTGTGGTTTGCCCTCATATGCCAATGGTGTGAAGGCACAGGGCCTGAGCAGCTTGCCCAGATCACCAGGGCACTGAGGGTGGTGGGGTAGGGGACCTGGGGAGGTCCACCTTTTTTCCTTACAAAAATGTTTGGATTTACTGAGGAAATTACAAAGGGTGCAGCCCCAATTGCTGCGGCTCCTGGATGGGAGGTGGCTGGTCCTGCTGGGGACACAGGGGTGATCCAGAAATGCTTTTATGAATTTCCTCTTGCTCTCAGCTCTTCAGTGCTTCTGTTTGCTCTGGAAGATAGATCAAATCTCATTTAATTATGTAGTGGGTAGAAAATGGGCAGGGCCCAAATGTTTGTTTTCAAATTAATTAGTAAATAACGCTGCTTTTAAAAATGGATGTCCACTAAAGAACCTGGAACTGTTCCGTACAAACCTGCAAAAGTCTCCTCCATTATACTACAACAAGATAACTTGCAAGAGGCTTAGTGATGGAGAGCAGCTGTTTGTGCGTGGTGACAGCAGGCGTCCCTCAGCTGCTTTCCTCCATCCCTTTCTCTCTCTCTCACAGGTTGTGTGCCAGAATGTGGGGGACCTGAATGTATCTGGGCCTCTGAAGGACATGAATTTCTCTATTCCAGAAGGAGGGGGACTGCGCTTCATTTACCAGGTAATCAAGTGTCTCTCGGTATCCACACCGGTCAATCCCCCCCATATTTGCACACGCTGACCTGACAGGCAGCGTTGCCGTCTGTGCCGGTGGGAAGAACAGTCCCCCAAGAGGACCTGAAATTAACTTTGACTCCCTCTATCTGGGAATTCAAGAGTCCTCATGCAAAAAGCAGAAGGTAACCCCTTCTCTAAAACACATTTTAAGAGGATATCTTAAGACAGGGATTAATAACATCAGCATTCCTAGAGAATGGGTTTCCATGTAACTTGTGTCATCATTTTCCTTCAGCTCTGAGGTTCTCTTCCCAAAGCCATAACCACAGAAGGACAGATCCAGCTCCCAGGCAAATGGAGGATGTGTGTCATTTTTTTTTCCATTCCCGTGCTCAGGCAAAGCCTTATCCCAAGCAGACGTTTGCTTTGGAAAGAAGCAACAGTTGGAATTTCCTGCAGCATTCAGGAAATAATGTGAAAACTTCTCTGTTAAGGATCAGAAAAGATCAGATTTGTTTGAGCAGGCTCGTGGAATATCATTCCCCCAGCCAAGCACACTGTTGGCAATACATTTTAAAAGACACACAAGCATGAAATTATTTCAGTTATGGTGAAAATGCTGATAAAAGGATGATTTTCCCTTTGATTTTTCTCCATTCTAGTTCACATCCAAGCCACCTGCTGTGAGTTTCAGAGTGACTGGTGAAAAAGATAGAATAATTGACATTGGGCAGAAGAATGGCATCCTGTATCTCAATGGGTCTCTGGACTGGGAGACCAAACCAGTGCACAGGCTGCAGGTAAAAACTCAATGAAAAATAGGAAGGGAGGGTTATTCACATTCACTCTTTTTTGGTAAACCTTAAATTAATGGCAAACTATTGACATCTCAAATTCTTTCTTTTGTCTATGTTTACAGACAACTTTTCATTTTTAATATTGAGTTTTGCTGAAAGATGCATGGTTTTATGGTTCTGAAAGACTGTGCACAGGAAAATGCTCCTTAGCATAGGAAGGTTATGTTGAGAAAACAAAAATTACCCTGATGCCAACACCAATCGTTTAATTCTATTAATATGAGGACACTTGACTGGAAGTGAAATCTGGACCCGTGAATGAGATTTGGTTGTTATCCCTGAAGCCTGATAGGGTGAATTCCATGGATAGAATGAGAAAATAAACTATTGTAGTCTATTTAGGAAGATTATAATCTATTTAGTGACTAATGGTGTGAGTAAATGACATTTAGACACAGAAGCACAGACCTAACCTCTGTTTGTTAGGTAACAGCAGAGAGCAGTTTGGCCGATGGCGGAGGCTGTTAGAGGAGAGAGCAGTGTGCTTGTCCTGCTATTACACCTTTTCCCTAAGGATCTCATTGTAAACTCTGTTGGGAGTGGGGCAGCAGGTAGGCGATCTTTGGGTCTCAGTATAGCCTTGTGCTCTTACTCTGTGTCAAAAATGATATTGTCTCTTTCTCTGAGGCACTAGTAACTGGGGAGGAGGTGATCGTGAGAGGATCAGTATCTGAACAGACAAAGTACATGATGGCGTTTTAGCTAGCCTTACCTACCCTTCTAAAGTCTAGCACTTCAGGTTTAATGGTTTTGTGTTCTCAGCTCTAAAGCACCCTTGGATTGGTATTAGAGAGTATGATTTTCTAGCTCCAGAAGTCATTAACCATAAACATGGGAAACCTTTACAGACAAGAAGTGATGACAGAACTGAAAAATGGTACTTGGTTAGGCATAAATAATCATGACTTGATCTATTATGTGCAAACAAAATAAAGTCTGACAGACATAATATATACTTGGTGCTTTAAAGTCAAAGAAGGCTGAAAAGTAAGAAGTCAAATTGTTTGGAACAAGAATGTAATCAGAACTAAGAATTAAATTTTCTTTACAAAACCCTAGATCAGACTATTTTTCTGGTTGATAGTTACAATAGCACATTTGAGTCCCCTATATGGTCGGGTTTTCTCCTTGTTCCTTAGAAAGTACCTATTTCTATTTAAAGAAAAGCATGAGATCTAAACTGTGCAAGAATACAAGTAGTCTGCTGAGACCGAAGTGAGCAATTGCCCTCTGAAAGGTGTCATCAGAAGCAGGAGTAGGTTATTTTGTTTTGTTGGCATTATGTACTGTGGCGATTATTGTCAGAGAGCTACTGTGGTAAATGTGTTCTTGTAGATGGAGCCACCCAGTGATGGCTCTCACCAGATCTGAGTCACAGTAAGAATGACTTGGCAGTTGACATCCTGATGTTCATTTATGTCTTTTCATTTATCTACATGAAAATGTTTCTTTGCTTTTCCTTCTTTTTGTAAATCAAGGTGGAAAGTCTGGATGAAAAGAGAAACAGAGTGGAAGGTCCATTCACTGTTACAATATATGTGGTGGATATCAATGACAACCCACCAGAATTTGACAAGATAAATTACACTGGAATAGTGAGGCAGAACTCCCGCCCAGGTAATCATCATAATAATTAAATATTATCGTTAATAGGAAACTAGGTAGATTAGTTAAACAGGAAGATAAGGTGGGTGCTGTGCCTCAACAACCTAAAAAGAGATCAGTTTTCCTTCCCACAGGATTATACAAAATAAGGATACAAGCATGTATAATGTAACGAAAGGGCAAAGAGGTGACCACTGTGTGGCGTAAAGGGATGAGTGTAATCAGAAATGTTTCATAGTACTTGTTGCTTTGCAAGTATCACTTAACAGGCAAATATTGCTGCCCTCACCATTGCACTGAAAAAACCCTACGTTAGAAGAAGTTTAAAGTTTAAAGGTTGCTAAAGATTACACAGAAAAAGAATGCTAAGAATATATAAGTCTTTGAACATCAGTGAAATAAAATGCCAGTGTAGATATGGGGTATGTGTTTACTGTGACTTACGCTTCTCAGAACGTGGGCTGGTATTTAGGAGAGAGTCTTAGATTATGGATTGCAGTGATCCAGTCCAGAAATCAGGAAAGCATTGAAAAGCAGATCGAGACCCACATCTTGGAAATAAAACTAAGGACTCAGCCAGCTTTTATCACTGTGACTATGGACTCAAGAACAAACTTTTGCTAAAGAATTTGCATATAAAACTCCATGGGGTCAGAAAATCATTCTGCAATATTTTACTGTATTCTTCAACTGCATCCAAGTCAAAAATATTTTGAATGTTGCATTGGTGATAAAAGGGCAAAAACTCACTTATGCTACCATGCATTTCCTTGGATTTTTTTCACTGCATGATTGTTCCTTTAATTGTAACTGTGTCACAGCTGTAGGGCATTTTTCTCAAGCTGCTTTGGGTTGAACTGATTTGTATAAGGACTGCGAAGTAGCCTTAAAGAGAGATGCCAGTGAGCTACATTGCAGATGCAGGCACTCTTGGGTGGTAGGTAGCTCTCTGAGCTGTCACCTTCTTCATCAACTGGTCTTCACACCTATTGTGATCCTACTGAGTAGAGCTGGTGGAGGTGGGACCTGTGGGATGGCACACAGGGAATGTAACCTCCACACACAAGCATGGCTTACCATGAGAGATGCATTTTGAAACAGCAGTAGCTCCCCATAAGCTGCCTTCCTGTCTTGAGAGCTCTGCTCGAATGGACTGTGTGTTGGGGTTTCAGTCTCCTCTTCCCACTCTTTCTTCTCTAATCTGAACAGGCAAGCCCTTCATGTATGTCCACGCCACTGACCGTGATGATCCTACAACTCCCCACGCACAGCTGATGTACAGCATTCTCCATCACTTTCCCAACCCTTATAAAGAAATGCTTTTCCAGATTGATAGTGTAACTGGAGCAATCTCACCGAGTAAGACAGGTATGTAAAAAGAATCTTGTTTGTCAAAAAGCAAGCATGAGTTCTTGGGTGTACCTAGGAATAAAACAACAACACAATTCTGATGTTAAATTCTGAATAAACATAGTCAGTGGGACTTACTCCACTGTGGCCCTGGTTTTGGGGAACTTAGTGTCCCACGAAATTCAAGGGAAGTAGCAGAAATGGAGATCTGAAAGTACCTTGAGAAGAGAGTTAAATCCTTTGGCCCTCAGGACTACTCCGAGTCATATCTTGGGATTAAATGTCTTCCTTGAAATCTAGAAAACCCAAATCAGTAATATGAAAAATGCAGAGAAAACTCAGCCAGCCACATGATCCCAACTAAACTGCAATGATTTAGAAACCCTGTCTCTTATGCTGGCCTGAACAAGTGCCTAACTGGAGTGAGGGCTGTTCAGTGATGCATTTGCACAACGTGAGACCACAGCACAGATTTCTCATATGATTAGGTCACATGATGTTTTGCTGCATCATTCAGAGAAATGGCTTGCTAAGATTTGGGACAGAGGCCCATCTAAGGAGTGAACCTGGAGCAGATGAAGAAGCATGGTGCATATAGGAGGCAGTGGCTAGACGAACTATCTCCACAGCCTTGGCATCATTTCACTGGGGTCTTTGCTCTGCCTCTAGGCTCTTATTACTTAGATCCTCAAAAGCAGGACACCTTCACACTTGTCGTCACCGTGAAAGACATGGCAGGGTTGACAACGAACGCTTTCACCAGCAGCACCGATGTGATCATCACTGTGAAGGAGAGCCTGTGGAAAGCTCCCCCCACCATCCACATCCAAGAAAACTCAACCCAGATCCACCCTGTCAACATCAGCCAGGTAGGGCCTTTGGTCATGTTCCCTGCACCTCTCCTTGGTGCCACAGAGTCATTTTCTCCCAGCTAACTGTGAACATGTCCCCACTGCATTCAGCACCAGGCTCTTCAGAGGGACTTTGGCACGTCCTAGTTATTTTTTATATGGTATCCTTTGGAAATGATCTATATTGCAGGTCTCATTAACTTACTGTTAGTATGAAAGTTAATGGTTTGAAGGTGACTGAGATACAGTCAATACAAACATTAGAGTGACTGGACTTTGCCCTTCAGTTTGGAGAGGCTGTTAGTACTGCCTGTGTATGAGAATATCTCATGGATAGGGGAAAGATCTGGAGAATTTTGTCACAGTGTAATCACTGGAAGAAAAAGGGTGCTTTACAAGGCTATTTGGCACAAGATAAAAGGTAAAGCTCTTGAGACACCCTAAGGGAGTTCCCAGACAGACGTGTGGGAGTTGGGTGCCTCTGTGGAGGTGCTGCTCTTCTCTTCCCGTGGGTTTCTTTGAGCACTTCCAGCCTCACTCTAACACCATGGGCCCTCCAGGCTTTGGGCAAACCAAGAGCTAATGTGTGGAACGTTATTTTAAGGTTAGCTTCTTCCATCCCCAGAAGAGCCTGGCAGGGGACCAGCTCCACTGCAACCCTGGTATGGGCAGTCCCCTGCACTCAGGGGCATCTGCTGTGACCAGTCCTGTGTGACACAGCACACCTGATACATCAAAAGTACCTAGGAAGGACTGAAATGCCCTCCTTCAGCATCCTGCATTCCCATACTATTCCTCTTTTCACAGTGCAAATGCAAAATATTTTGCTGATAACTGCAGACCAATAGCAATGTATACATCAGTAAATATTAACTAACAGGCTAGCAGCCTTTCAGAAATGTTTGACTTTGAAAAATGCCTTGGCACTGACACCCCCAATGTCGTCATCCCTTGGACATGGATTCCTCGGATCCTGTTTGCAAGAGTAACTGCCTGGGTGCAATTCCCACCAGCCTCAGCGACAGCCCGAGGAAGTCCAGAGTGAAAACAGGTGGAAGGAAAACCAATATGCAACGGTGCTCCCATTCTTGGGTCACTTGTATATAAATTTCACGTGGCAGCCAATGACATGGTGATTCTGCCGAGGGGAAAATGAAATGTAGTTGCTGCTACAGAATATAAAACATAAACAGCAATGCTGACTCCTTCGTTAATTTGGCAGTCTGTTTACTGCATTTCATTTTAAATCTGAAGCACCCCACTAAAGATCCCTCATCACAGACTTTGATGCATGTAAAGAGCATGCGCACACATACGCGCAGATAGGTACTGGATATCTGTTTTGTTGTTCCACGTCTCTGAATTAGATAAACCAAACCAACAGGCAGAAACAGACAGTGTGAGGAGATGGAACAAATTAGTGTCAAGACATTCAAATACATATAATGCTTTCTTCTCATGTATCACTCTTTATCTCCACATCCCAAAACGCTTCCATAAAAAGACATGTGTCATAGCCCATCTGGACAGCTGGAGAAACTGAGGTAAAGTGGCTTCACCGCAACAATTCAGAGAGCAGAGGTGGATTATCAGTCTGGTTTTCTACAGCTCGTCCCAAGAGCCTGCCAAGCTGTTAATTTTCTGGTTTATGAAGCTAACAGGAACGCAGTCTTTTCTGTTTGTGGTCCAGAAATGATCCCTGTTAAAACTCAGTCTACAATTCTGACTTCCTATTATTTTTGTGGTTTTAGGTGCAGTCAAATGAGCCAGATGTAATTTATGACCTTTTTGAAAGAGAAAAGCTGCCCAGGCTCCCATTTTCCATCGATCAGAAGGGGGTTATTTATGTGACCGAACCGTTGGACAGGGAAGAAAAGGATAGCGTAAGTAAACACATAAAACCTCACCAATGGGAGAGACCATAGCAGGAAGGTGATTATTGCTGTGGGAGTAAATACAAGAAAGCTCACTACAAAGGACAGAGGAGAAAAAAAGAAATAAAAGCTTTTTTTCTTCCTGTTTCTTTTTGGGAATGACTTGATAGATACGAAAACACGTTCATCTACTACACTGTAAACAGCCTTCAGTTTGGTACCCTACAACATTTCTCCAGGGGTCTGGCAGTAGCAATCACACAGCCTGTGTATAATGTACAACATGGGCCAACCATGGCAGGATTGTAGGTGCATGAGGAAGAGGTAGGCAGTGGCATTTGTGGAGGGCAGGAGATTTGGGTGTTTCAGATCTACTCCATCTCCCAGGGGCCTCAGGGATCTCTCCACAGCAGAAGCAGAGTTTGACTTGCAGTTGCAACTGTAAAGTTACCCTAAAGTTCCCCATATGGGATTCTTTTAGAGAGAAAACCCTCTGCCCCCTTTTGTTCTTGGAGGAAATTTGGGCACAGAATAAGGCAGAGATCAGATGTACTGGAGGAATCCTATCTCTGTGTGTGACAGATGAATTTGCAAAGTGACAAAAATGAGACATGCCTGCTTTCCTTGAATTTTTTGCGAGAGCAAGTTCACAGTGCAGTGAAGTATTCAGGATTTTTAAATTCTTCTGAGAACTCAGATCTCAGGCACTAAAGGGTGATGGAAGAGTTCTGAATTAAACAGAGTGAAAATACTGAACAAACATATGAGGGGGTATTTAATTTGAATGGAACGCTCCCATAGCTACACATTTAAATGCAAAATATTGTCACAGTGGACATTCAACACATCTAATCTCAACATTCTTATTGCAGTATACTTTCTTTGTGGTCACAAAAGATAGCAAGGGAGACCTGGTGGACAAGCCTCTGCAGGTCCGTGTTGTCGTGGAAGACATTAATGACAATCCCCCTGTGTGCCAGCAGGAACTCACTGTAATTGAAGTTCAAGAAAATGAAGGTGCAGGTAAGAAAACAGCTTCTACTAATTTGTACACATCATTCTGGTCCTGTAATTGTTTCCAGCTGGGTGCAAATAAAGCTAGAAGTTCTGATCCCAAAATGTAAAATGTAGCTCTTCCAGAGAAATGTTTTCCTGTGCAAATAGCCCTGTTGTTTTCACTTCAGTAATTCATGTGGAAAGGATTTCAATAACCTGAGAAGGGAAGACCCAAGACCCCTACTTAAAAAATGCTGTGCAATTTGAAATATAAAATCGCATTTTCCCACAACCACAGTTTTGGACAACTGCTTAGAAAAACACCCCTTTTATCACTAATACAAGAAATACTGCTCTAGAAGTGGCATGAGCCCATTTTCCCTCATCCAGATGCTCCTTCAGCATAATGCCCTTGACTTCAATGGACCATTACTGAAATCTGTCCCTAAGTCTTCACACCAGTTATTTGGTTTCAAGGTTGAAGCATTTGTTGTTACGGTCACTTCTGATCAAAACACGTACCCCAGTCCTTTTGGATTGCCCCAAGCCCAAAGCAGCTGGTTGGGGTGCTAAATGAAAACCGCCCAGAAGTCAAACAATTGTGTCCATTGTAGTGTTTTCCCGCTCAGTTGTATTTTTATTGCCCCTTAACATTTTGCATTGGTATCACTGTTGTCAGCGTGTACCTCTGTGGAGGAACAGGACCACTGCATTTTCTGACCCACTCTGGTCTCTCCTCTGCCACAGGCAGTACCATCGGCACCCTGAAAGCTACAGACATGGATGAGGTGGGCACCCTTAACTCTCGTCTGCAGTTCAAAATCAAAAGTCAGGTTCCTGCTCTTCCTTCAAGTAAACCGTTCTTCATTCAGCAAGACACTGGGGTTTTGCAGTTAACCAGCCAATTGTTAAACAAGCGCATTGCATCCAACTATTCCTTGAAGGTGCTGGTGACAGATGCAGGTACGTAACGCCTGCTGTTTTACATCGGAATAATTTTGTTCACACTGGCATCCCCCATGCTGAGTGTCCAAGGGATGAGAGGAGACCTGGAAAATTCACTGGACAGGCAGCAGCACTGAGAGCTGGCTTGCTCTGGTGTGGTACTGCTGCCTTCTCGAGATGCAGGGATGTTAATCATGATTCATAACGCAAGTATGGAAGGAAACCAGCTCTAGGGCAGAGCGTGAATAAACTGGGAAGCTTGTTAGTAAGTACTCCAGTATGAGATTTCCTTCCACAGGGGGGCAAAATTGAAGAGATCATGATTGTGGTTTTCCCCAAAAATCTTTCAAACAGACACTTAAAAAAAAATCAAGAAATGAAACACAGCTACTCAGAAAGTCTAGATAATGTATTTTAAAAGAGCTGAAAATCATCTTCAGAAAGAATCCTGTCCATTATGTAAGCTCCCAGGAGTCCTTTGTGGTTCACTGGATGGAAAGGAAATCAAACTCCATACTAAAGCTTAAAGCTTTGTGCTGGAGTCCTTAGAGTCAGGCAAATCTTGTGGATGAAGGAACTGGCATGTAAAGAAAACAGTGTGACATGTCTGCAAATGATGATATGAAAACCCTGCAGAGAGAGAAGCTGGTGATTTGTTTTGGATGCTCATCTGAATTCCATCCAAACAGTTTTGTTTAGAATATTCCTTCATTTTCAGCACATGAAACACGTCCGTAAAACACTAAAATCCAGCTACATATGAATAGCACATGACCAGTAGAGTATGCTTTTAAAATCAGAAACCCCCATTGCTATGGGTGTCCCTGCTCAGGTAGTGCTTAGATCTACATAGATCTGAAGTTTAAGTCTGGCTGTAATGAAAATGAGGGCGCTGCCTGATGGTCCACCAAGAGGAGAAGGTAGCACAACAACTTGGGGTTACATTTTGACATGCAAAAGTGATATTGAGAAAGCTAACACAATTCATAGCTATCACTGTCCTGGTAAAGGGATATGGTTAAAAAAACGTGAGGGAAATGAAGTGAAACAGGATGGGACAATGCTGAAGCAATTGGGAAGGTGAACAGTAAGACAGAGAGTGAGGTTGTCACTGACTAAGAGATACTGGAGATCAAGTGCTTCTTAGAACAGCTGGACTTTGCTTGGACTGGGCAATTTGGCAGCGCTCACTTTTGCTCGCAGTGAACCCTTTTGGAGGAAAGCTATTTTTGGCAGAAAGGTTGCTGTGACGTTGCTTGTTCTCTCTCCATGCAGTATTCCAAACAATCTGTGATGTGCAAGTACATGTCATCGACATCAATGATAAGATTCCCATCTTTGAAAAATCAGATGTGAGTATTTTTAACACCATGTTTGATGTCCCAATAACTTTTGACAAATGTTTGAGCATATGTTCAATGTCTATAGAATGTCCATGGGAAACCAACCATTTACAGACAAGTAACAAGAGCAATCCACCAGTGAGAACAGAGGCAAGGTATTGCTGCAAAGCCTGCGTATAAGCTCTGTCTAGACAATGAACAGTGGGACCGATTCATAGTTAATTCTGAAATATAAGGTAATTTTCTCAGTGGAAAGCTATGTGCACAGAAAGAAATTATTCTATTAGAGAAGAAAGAAATTATTCTATTAGAGAAGTTTATTCCAGAAATGTAAGTTCTGAAGGGAAAGGAAAAGAAAAGGCTTTAAAATTAATTAAAAGAGCTAAATGGAAAAAAGCTAACATCTCCCAAGTTCCCTTCCAAACACAGTATTAATGTAAATGTAATGTCATGTAATGTAAAAGCCAGAAGGTGAGTGGAAATCAAAGTCTCTATTTGCTTTAATCAGAACCAGTGGTCCAGTGATCCATGCCCAAATGCATACCTGCTGGCCCTTGGTTCCGGAATGGGTGTCAGGCTTTTGCTGCTTCCTCTGGTGGAGGTGCTGGCATCTGGCAGAGAGACCTGCAGACCTTCCATGACTTCTGCCTGCTGGCTCAAGCCTCCCTGCAGACACTAGAGTGGCTGTAGTGTCTACATTTTAGGTGCTTAAGCCCCTACCATACTTGTAGGCAACATGGGTGGTGGGCTCAGGAGAGCTGTCTGGCCCATCAGGTGTAGGTGTCCTCTTGGGGAAGCTGTGTTGGTTCTCGGGCTTTGCTGACTACTTTGCCCAGTTCTCTGTTGATAACGTGAGCTTAGACACATGTGGACTAGGTGCCTACATAGCAGGTTGTTGGCTTTCTCACCTCAATGTCTCAGTCTGGGACTTGGTCTCAAGATGAGACTGCTGGGTTAGGGCACACAGCAAACAGTAAATGGAGCTGGGCTGCTAATGTGGCAATGGCCTATGGTACATGGAGCACTTAAATATTTAACAGTCAGTGGCTAGGGTGCTTACTGGGTACGGAGGAGCTGTACAGTCCCTGTTGCTGTGAGCATTGCACGAGCGTGGAGTGGTTTTGACAGAGTAGGTAAAGGTCTGGGGCTGTTGCTATACTAGTAGCTTACCAGCTGACAGATCCCATCACCTTTAGCAAATGTATGGCTAAAAAGGGTGATATAGCAACTTTGAAGAGGCTCTAGTGCCCATCTTGCAGCCCTGGGTTCCCCTAGGCAGCGAGGTAGCTCACCTGTACTGCTGCAAGGCATTTCTCTAATGCTTTTGTACACCTCTAACCTGGTTATGTCTCTGCTGTGAAGTACAGCCACTGCTTCCCTCCCTCACACAGCTGCTGAGGGTTAAAATACATCCTTGCTTGTGGGTCGTGAGCTTGTTGCAGCACTCAGGATTTTATCCGCAGATGGTGCTCGGTGTGTCATGTTTCAACGACCTCTCTCTCCTCAGTATCACAGTGTGACTGTTGCAGAAAATCTCCCAGTAGGAACAGTGATATCAGAAATTCAAGCTACCGACGGAGACGAGCCTGCCACAGGGAGCTCCTACATCATTTACCAAGTGAAGGAAGGAGATCCAAACAAGACGTTCACCATAGTGACAGATCCTGAAACAAACCGAGGGTTTGTCAAGATTAACAAGGTAAATAGATGGGTTTATTCTTCTCCTCTCTCTATATATAAAAATATATAAATTATATCACATATACATTTGTCATAAACAGTAACTGCCCTGGTGATGGTTTGTGGGGCGGAGTTTGCCTGGTGGTAGGGTAAGGAGACCCTAAGCATGGTGCAGACTGCAGGAGGCCCCACACTGTGCAGTCCTCAGGCACAGCTATCCTCCTGCCTTTGTTGTCCCTTACCCACTCACCACCATCACCAGCAGCTACCTCCGCTGGCTCTGCTGCTGGGCCCTTCTCCAGCAGAGCAGGCTCTGGCCAATGAAGCAGGTCTTTATACACCATAAAGAAAAAAATGTCATTATTTGACTGATTTTGCAGCAGCGTTTCTGGAAAAGAGAAAGCCAGCTAAATGCTTCCATGGGCTGTGGTCATGGTGGTGGGCTGTCACGGGCCAGATCCTCCTCCCTGCTGGTGCTCTGGGCCATTGGTGGCTTTTGCAATGGGAGATGCAAGTGAGACCAGCATGTCTCAATGTCAGGATGGAGAGGCAAAAGCCAAGGTCAGCACATGCATGTTACAGTGGGTGATACATCCCATATGTTGAATGCTGGAGGTGGGAACGTAAGGAACACTTTCTGCTACATCCATGAATCTCAATAGCAAAAGAACTCTCCCTTTGAAATTAGCCTTCTCAAAGGCGCTTGAACAAAGGGTCCGGGAAATCTATCACTCATTTTCCAAGGGGTGACATGTTGTTTGCACCCAGTTCACCTGCTGCCAACCAGGCCAAGGGCAGGCAGATGCAGCATTTGGTGGACCGTCTTCAGGCTCAACCTCAGCATCATTTTTTCCCAAGGAGGCAATTGTGAGAAACTCTGTGGTGTAACAAACCTCGCATGGCTTTTGTCACACGGAGGTCACCCGAGACCATCTCGTACAGAGCTATAAATACTATTGCAGTAAACAGGATATAGTTATTAAACTTAGCCAGGCAGGTGGCAACTTTATTAGGAAATGCAGTTGCTGAGGAGGCCTCCAAACGGGCATATGGTTTCATTTAAATTGGCTGTTACCAGTGTCATTTTCCTCCTGACAGCTCTCACTTATTTCATCTGTATCTGGGATACAATCTCCTCCTTGAGAAGAGGGGCACTTTGTGGTTTCCCATGGGAGCTCCCCACAGCATCAGGGCCATGGCTTAAAGCACCTTTTTCTTCTAATTTATGCAGGCTCTTGATTTTGAAGCAGCTTCAGTGTACAACCTGGTGATCAATGCCACAAACCCCGAACCGCTGGTGCCAGGCGTGCAATACAACTCAAGCTCCCTTACCTTGCTTCAAGTTCTTGTAACAGATGTGGAAGAACCACCTGTTTTCCTCAAGACAGTTTACAATGGAGAAGTGTCTGAAGATGTTTCTGTAAATACCCTGGTCATGACAGTGAAGGCCTATGATCCTGAGGGGGATACTGTACGGTAAACAAGAGTGACCATGATTTATTTATTGAATTTTGCATTTAGAAAATTGCCCTAAAAGATGTACAAGGAAAACACGCCCAATACTTGGCATGCAGGAAAAGACTTTTTTACAGAAGTCTCATCTCCTAGTAGAAGGTGGAGGTGGGGTGGGGTGGTGGTCAGTGACCCACCTGCAGCAGACTGCTGAGCAGTGCTTTTCTAACCAGCTTTCTCTCTGTGCTGTGACAAGTATCAGCCAGTGGGGGCCTTGAACCAGGAAAGTAAAAGGGAAGAAGGCCAATATACGTACCAGAAAAAAGGGAGAGCTGGTCTGAGAATAACAGGGTTTCCATATCCATAACGCCTTTAACAAATGAATAACGCATACTGCATACCCTTAGGAGCCAGTAGGCCAGTAGTTGCTTTTCATGTTGCACAGGAAACCACACAGGGTTTTATTTTCTTTCCACCAAAACACACAACCTGTAGTGAAGCTCAAGTCTATAGCTGACAATTAATTAATTTTATTTTCCAGCTGCCTGCTTCCACTGTGGATGCAAAGCTCTGTGCAAGACAATTCCTATGCTTGTGAGTGGGATGCAAAATTTCAAACTGGCTCACTCAGTAGCCCAATGCCATGTTGTATGGTCAAGTCACCTTGAGTCTTTGCCAGCTCATGGATTTATGCACAGTGTTGTGTTGCATGGTGCAAATGTACCTTACACAGTAGAGTCGGGTAGAAGAATTATTTGTGGCTCTTGCTGCACGATTCCCAGCTGGGATGCTGAACAGATCAACCCAAAATAAACAATCCTTGAAATTTAACTAAAATTCAGCAAAACACCAAGTAGTTAATGGAGTTGCAGAATATGACTGTTAGGCCTCCCATGGATTTTTATTCCCAGAGGTTTCTCATCTGGCTTTCTACTTTCCCCTAACTTTTGGGAACTTAGCATGTTTAGCATTCTGTCAAAGGCCAAGAAGCTCTGGGGGATGATGACAGAGACAGATGACAGGAATTCATATTTACATAAACCACATTTCTGCTAAAAAATAGGTTAAAGGACATAAAATAAAAAGTATAAAAAGTAAAAGATGTACAAGCATGTCAGCATGCTGTTTTTAATGCAAGGGGTACTGAAAGAACAAAAGCGTTGAATGAGAAGGTCGGGTCACATCTACTCAAGCAAATGCCTGTGCTTCAACTGGGTCATATGTTCATGGTTAAATTTGTATAAGTAAATATGCAGAGACCTTGTTTTGTTTTGTTTTTTTAAACAATAATATAAAGGCAATTATGTGGTGCTGTTTAAAGCACTCTCTGTTCCAAGACTGCCCCAATGGTAATTACAAGCTACTCCAGACTGGCAGCAGATGGACTACCTTGGAGTCCTGGCCCCTTGCTGATCCAAAAAAGGGTGCCTGTCTGCACTGCTCCCTCTGCCCCCCAATCTTTGGCTTGTGTGCCCATCAAAACCAAAGCATGGGAGATGCAATGGGGAGAGAGGGAGATACGGTTGGGACAGAGCACGCTTCTGGACACCCCAGGCTTCCCTGTTAGGAGGAAGGTGGAGTTGCAACATGCAGGCTGGAGGAGCGGTGGCATTCCCACGGTTCTGCTCTCACTCTTTATTCGCAATGATTTTAGCTTCCCTTTGCCTGTCTGTCTCCCCTGGTTGGCTGTAGTACTGGGACTCTTCCAAGAACCCTCACTTTGAATACAGTTATAATCAAGCCACTTACCTAAAATCAATACAGAAGTATTTGCTTTATCAGCAATTTTTCCTGATTTGGAATAGTATACATGACTTTTTCTTCTTTCTCTCCAAAGATACTCCATAGAAGGTGATGTAAGGAAATGGCTGAGGATTGATTCAAGCACTGGGCAGATATACACTGCTTCCACTTTGGATCGAGAACAGCAAGAAACGTACAGTGTTGATGTTGTTGCATATGAGCTACGTAAGCGATGAAACAACTACATATACACACGCAGAGGAATCCTCTGCCCTTACTGCTTTATGAGGAGTACTTCCCATGACTAAGCCCATGAAAAGTACAGGAATGTGTGGTGTCTCCTTAGAAGTATATATTTCTTAAGAATTTAACTTTCTTAAAAGAAATCTCGATGTTATAGATAATGAGGATTAAAATAATTTTCATGTAGTTAGCTATCACATGCTGTTATATTTGCACGAGCCACAGAGCATATAGAGAAATTTAGAATTTTCTCAGTATTTTTAGTGTCAGCATTTTCTGCCACTTTTTTCCTCTGTAGCTACAAAGATTTTATTCTTTCTTGTAGGTATGTTTAGGCTTCCTGAAAACATACCTGGAAAGTAACTTGCAAACTTGTACAGAATTTCATTTTATTATGAATAAAACTAATACACTAGTTAGTCTGAAATATATTAGAGCTCCTAATTCCAGTCCATCTGGGGAGATTTCGTTACATGATTTACATTGAAAAGGGGTTAAAAGCTATGGACTATAGCTGATTGAATGAAGTATAAATCTAGGTTTCCCTTATTGAACACATGCAAACAATAATGCTGGCCACTGTTTTGAGGGATATGGGTAAGGATGCACTTCCTTTATGTCAGGAAAAAGGAATGCTTCCTCCAGCACCGTGATGGAGTGAGGCTGTTCCTGCAGGAACAGGCTGGAGAAATGACAGGGCTCTGAAAGCTCTTCTTGGGCCCCTTGTCTTGGGCCCCAAGGCAGACTGTTGACTTGCTTTTTGTATATATAGAAGAGAGATGGAAAGTTTAAGGAATTTCACACTTAAAAGAATGCTCCAAAGAGTGCTGGTCACCATGGATGTGACCGCTTAGCAGATAGCAGATGGATGTGACTGCTTATACGATGATCTATCTGCTTCCTTTCACTTGCTAGTGCTCTGTAGTTAGCAAGAGTTGGGGGTAAATAAACCACACTTTTTAAGAAGTGGTGGCAGCCACCACGAGTCCCTCAGGCCCTCCTGAGACCTTGCCTCTGCAACCTGCAGACCGAATGCCACCTCCCACTGCCTGCCTGATGCGGTACCTATATGACAGCTGCAAATGCAGCAACCCAGCGTGTAAGTCCAAGATGTGCGTGTAACTTTACATTCTGTTAAACTCTACAGATAACGCAGCTCAGAAATCCAAAACAACCTTGGTACTACACTTAAAGGATGTGAATGATAACCCTCCACAGTTAGCTATGGATTATCCTCCTTTCTTCTGCTACCCACTCATTGGAGGAGAGAGAACTTTAATTCAAGCGACTGATGCTGATGAACACTTGTATTCAAAATTTAGTTTTTCTCTCGCAAATGATATGAATGCCAGAAATAATTGGGAAATCTCAAAGGTTAATGGTAAGTTAATAAAGCTATTCTTCTAATGATATGGGACTCTCTAAGTACTTTGAGAAATATGAAGTAATATTGAATTCCTTTTCATTCCTACTATTGCATATCCAGTATTCCATGTAGAAAAAAAATTGGTTGTTGAGAAATTACATGCATTTTGGCATGTATTTATTTGAACACCTAAGTCATTAATAATTTTTTTCAAGAGGTTACATCTAGTATGTTGCAAGCTAAAATTTCACTAGTAGTTAGGAGAGAAGAAACATCTAAGAAAAAAAGGTACTGTGTGCTTAAATCAATACAAATCACTCCTGCTAAAGAAATAGAGCAGTTCACAAACTATTTCTGACATTTTGTGTGCAAAGGGAAGTCATGCCTCACAAACTAATTGGAGTTCTTTGAAGGGGATCAGTAAGCACATGGATAAGTGCTTGGCCGATAGAGCCTGTCTGAATTCCTAAAAGACATTTGAGGAAATGTCCCACTAGAGAAAGTTAGGTTGCCATGTTGTGAAAGGGACAAGTTTTGAAAAGATAAATAATAATTTAAAATTATGGAGTTGGAGTAAATGGTCAGCTCTTGCACTGAAGTGAGTTCATGTCTGGTTTTCCAGAGGGTTTTTTGCTAGGACCTGCACAGATCAGTAAATATGGGTGTGCAATGAGGAGGCGAAGTTTAGACATTATACAAAGTTATTTGAGTAGGAACCAAGTGTGAAGAGTTGCAGAACATCCTTGCAAGACTGAGCTGGTTGAGCAATAAAATAGCAGATTCAAATGAACCCCAGACCCCCAAATTCACATTTGAAATCATGGGTGCTGAGTTGGCCATTATGAGTCAGGAATAAGACCTGTAAGCAGTTCCATGAAAATGTGAGATCAAATTATCAGCAGTGTTCAGAAAAGCAGATCAAATATTGGGAATTACTAGGAAAGAACCAGAGAAGAAATCAGAGAATGTGATTATGCCCCTGTATAAATCCATGATTTGTTCAAATCTTGAATTCTGGTCTCTCCATCTCCAAAAAGATGCAGTAGAACTGGAAACAAGTTTAGATAGGGTGATTATATCAGAGTTATGGACTAGCCTGATGTAAGGAAGTGTACAGAAGAAGCAAAGTTAGCTACTACTGTTTAGCTTGGAAGAGAGTAGGGAAAAAATACAGTAGAGGTCTTTAAAATCATGAATGCTGTGGTCAGGGTGGCCAGAGGTTCATCATTTGCCCTTTCTTCCAGAATACAAATGTGGGAGCTTCAAATGAAGCATATGGGAGTTATTTCCAGTGCAGATAGAGGGAGGAGGTAGTTGACTGTGGAACTTGTTGTTGCAGGGTCTTGTGTATGTAGAAAGTTTCCACAAGTTCAAAGCAAGAAATTACATCTTGTTCAAGAAGTCTCTGAGCTGAAAATTGTTGAAGACTGAGAGAGCATTAAGAGAAAATAAAATACATAGAATCATAGGATCATTTGGTTGGAAAAGACCTTTAAGATCATCGAGTCCAACCATACATGTCCACTACTAAACCATGTCCCTAAGCACCTCATCTCCCCATCTTTTAAATGCCTCCAGAGATGGGGACTCAACCACTTCCCCGGGTAGCCCCTTCCAGTGCCTGATAACCCTTTCAGTGAAGAAATCTTTCCTCATATCTGATCTAAACATTCCCTCGTGCAATTTGAGGCTGTTTCCTCTCATCTTATCACTTGTTACTTAGGAGAGGAGCCCAACAACCACCTCACTAGAACCTCTTTTCATGTAGTTGTAGAGAGCGATAAGGTCTCCCCTCAGCCTCCTCTTCTTCAGGCTGAACAACCCCAGTTCCCAACCAGCCAGTCCTCATAAGACTGGTGCTCCAGGCCCCTCGCCAGCTTTGTTGCCCTTCTCTGAACACACTCCAACACCTCAATGTCCTCCTTGTAGTGAGGGGCCTAAAACTGAACAAAGTATTCCAGGTGAGGCCTCACCAGTGCCAGGTACAGGGGAAAGATATCACTAACCATTTCCTCTTGGATCATGGGAGATTTGTTTTTCTCCCCATCCCTGTCTTCTGGCTCAGGCGGCTGGGAACCTGGAGAACAGCTGAGGCAAAGAAGGCATTATCAGCCTTATCCTCATCCTTTGTCACTATGGTTCCCCCTGCATCCAGTAAAGGATGGAGATTCTCCTTGGCTCTCCTTTTGTTGTTAGTATATTTACATACATGTTTGCTTTTTTTATGGTATTCTCCATTCTAGAGACAAGATACTGACATCAATATACCTTTGGTCTGATCCCAGTGGCTGTTATAGTCTTCTTTTTAGAAGTTCTAAAGAGTCTTAGATGTGACAGTGTAGGTGTACTAGAAGGATGGTCTGTCCTACTAAGTTGTCTTGGGAACAATTTAAGTTGGTTATGGCTTCTTTGAGTATGGGGAGATTTTGTGGTTTAGATATGATGCTATCACTGTAGCACTACCCAAAATCAGATTTGGCCTGCTGTAGAAGTTAGGAAGGAAATTCTCTGACCATATTATGCTGAAAGCCAGACTAGGCATTCAGACAGTCCCTTTTGACTTAATGCCTGCAAACCCATGAGACCTGGTAAGACATGGTGGAAAACAGAAACTACCATCATGTGCAAAGCAGCCTTAAAAAAGAGCGTTTGCAGCTGGCATAACTGTTGAGCTCAATTTCTTTCTTTTGCTGACATGAATGTACCATTTCCTACCTACAGGTACTTATGCTTACCTCTCTCCGAAACACACTAACTTTGAAGAGAAGGTGTATACTGTTCCAGTAATAATTACTGACAATGGAAAACCACCTTTGGAAAGAAAAGTGAATCTTCAAGGTATACTATGCACAGAACTATTAGTTTCAAGACAACAGTTGCATTTATGAATAATCAAACTAGACTACTAAACTTCTCATTAACCTCATGGCATTTCTTTTTTTGCAGTAAACATCTGCAAGTGTTCAAGTGAAAATTCATGTTTTATCGAAGTAGAGCATGACCATTCCAGACCAAGCGTCGGCCAGGCCATTGGGATTCTTATTGGGGTCCTGCTCATCATTGGTAGGTCGCTTTTTCTTGGTTGATATGAAGCCAGGTCTCTGAGATACTGTAATGCTGTTGCATTTCTGACACTGATTCACTTGTTGCGTGAAGAGATGTCACGCATGTTGCAGAATGAGCAAAAGAGGGAAGATCTCCTGACTGTGTATCATGATTGCTGCAAACCTGTAAGTTTTTAGTCATAGGAATAGCTTTCTGTGGCCTGTGCTTCTGCATACACGTACAATGGCACAGGAAGCAGCTATCACAGAAGAAAACGTTGCACTTGTAGCATATTGCCCCTTCACTGCTACCTACTGCCTTTTCCCTGTCAGGGAAGGGATTGGAGCCTCATCTTTGGCTTCCAGATTACAGTGAAAATAGGAAGCTTCCAGGAATGTCATGCTTACAATGTCTGTACCCATAGGTTACAATTATGGTTTTATTCACCTGTTGTGGTTTAGCCCAGCAGGCAACTAAGCACCACCCAGCCGCTCGCTCACTCCCCCTGCTCCCTCAGTGGGATGGGGGAGAGAATTGGAAAAAAAGTAAAACCCATGGGTTGAGATAAAGACAGTTTAATAAAAGAGCAGAGGAAAAGAATAACAATAATAATAATAATGGTAAGAGAATATACAGAATATACAAACCAAGTGATGCGCAATGCAATTGCTCACCACCCGCTGACTGATGCCCAGCCCATCCCAAGCAGCAATCCCTCTCCCCCCCAGCCAACTCCCCCCAGGCATGATGTCCTATGGTCTGGAATAGCCCTTTGGCCAGTTGGGGTCAGCTGTCCTGGCTGTGCCCCCTCCCAGCTTCTTGTGCACCTGGCAGAGCAGAGGAAGCTGAAAAGTCCTTGACTTAGTGTAAGCACAACGTAGTAGCAACTAAACCATCAGGGTGTTATCAACATTCTTCTCATCCTAAATCCAAAACACAGCACCATGCCTGCTACTAGGAAGAAAATTAACTCTATCCCAGCTGAAACCAGGACGTCACCTATTTCAGCTTTTTAGGTTTCCGTTTTCCATATGGAGAATTGCTTTGAGCTGTGGGAAACTGGCATTTACATGAACAAAGTACAGTTATATTGTTAAGTGGTAGTGTACAGTATTATGTTCTTACAGGAATGAGCTGATGCAACTTCATCTCTTTTTCCAAAGCAAGATAAAATATTTTTTTTTTGTAATAGAATAGAATAGAATAGAATAGAATAGAATAGAATATTTCAGTTGGAAGGAACATACAATGATCATCTAGTCCAACTGCCTGACCACTTCAGGGCTGACCAAAAGTTAAAGCCTGTTGTTAAGGGCATTGTCCAAATGCCTCTTAAACACTGACAGGCTTGGGACATTGACCACCTCTCTAGGAAGCCTGGTCCAGTGTCTGACCACCCTCTCGGTAAAGAAATGCTTCCTAATGTCCAGTCTGAACCTCCCCTGGTGCAGCTTTGAACCATTCCCATGCACCCCACCACTGGATCCCAGGGAGAAGAGCTCAGCATCTCCCTCTCCAGGTCCCCTCATCAGGAAGCTGCAGAGATCAATGAGGTCGCCCCTCAGCCTCCTTTTCTCCAAACTAGACAAACCCAAAGCCCTCAGCCACTCCTTATAGCATATTCCTTCTAGCCCTGGCACCAGCTGTGTTGCCCTCCTCTGGATGCATTCGAGTACCTGAACACCCTTTTTAAATTGTGGGGCCCAGAACCACACACAGTGCTCAAGGTGAGGCTGCGCCAACGCTGAATACAGCGGGATGATCACCTCTCCTGACCAGCTGGTCATGCTGTGTGTGATGCCCCCCAGGATGCAGTTTACCCTCTGGGCTGCCAGGGCACACTACTGGTTCATACTGGGCGTGCTGTTGACCAGCACCCCCAGATCCCTTTCTGCAGGGCTGCTCTCCAGCTGCTCCTCTCCCAGTTTATACTTGTGCCTGGTGTTACTCTGTCCCAGGTGCAGAATCCAGCATTTAGACTTATTAAATCTCATGCCATCAATCATTGCCTAATGCTCCGGTCTATCTAGATTCCTCTGCAAGGCCTCCTGTCCCTCAAGAGAGTCAACAACACCTCCCAGTTTGGTATCATCAGCAACCTTGCTAATGATGTATTCAACTCGCGCATCGAGACCATTGATAAATATGTTGAACAGAACTGGCTCTAGAATTGAGCCCTGAGGAACACTGCTGGTGACAGGTCGCCAGCCAGATGTAGCCCCATTCACTACAACACTTTGAGCTCTGCCCTTCAGCCAGTTCTTCACCCAGTGCACCATGAACCTGCTCATCCTACAGTGGGACGACTTGTCCAGAAGGATGCTGTGAGGGACAGTATCAAAAGCCATACTAAAATCCAGAAAAGGTACATCCACCTTCCCTTCATCCACTAGGCAGGTAACCTTGTCACAGAAGGCCATCAAATTAGTTACACAGGACTTTCCCTTTGTTCACCCATGTTGATGGTGCCTGATGATTGTGTTATTCTTTAAATGCTTTTCAGCAGTACCCAGTATGATCTTCTCCATAATTTTTCCAGGAACTGAGGTTAGACTAACAGGTCTGTAATTCCCTGGGTCTTCCCTCAAGCCCTTTTTGTAGACTGGAATAACATTGGCTAGCTTCCAGCCAGCAGGGACCTCTCCAGACTCCCAAGACCTTTGGTAGATGATCGAGAGGGGTCCTGCCATAACATCCTCTAGCTCCTTCAGTATTCTCTTTATCAATGTAAGTGCAAAAGTAGGGAGGAAGACTGTTGATGGGATCCAGTCCCCTAGGAAGCAAAGAGCAAGGAGAATTCAGTGCTCAGTCCTGTGTGATTTTTGAATGCGATGGTCACAAGAGCCAGACTGAGAAACTGTGACAGCTATAGAGAGGGAAGGGACTGTGAAAGACCTATGGAGGAAATCAAAGAAAAAGAATTAAATATGTTACAGACCTCATATTTGAAAGACTCGGATTAAATTAGAGGATAAAAGGGAAAAACCCCAAGAACTTATGTAAGTTACTGTTACTTCAATTCTAAAAGAAAAGAGAATGAGCCCGCAAGAACAGGTTCAATACCTCAAAAGACAAAACCAAAGCTCTGTGTAGATATTCTTTTGTAATACACAAACCCCCAAAGCAAGAGAAAGTACTGGTGCATATGTTATGCATATGTGTTTGTCTTTTGAAGATAAAAAGAGAAAAAAGAATTCAAAGAACTTAAAAGGAAGAAGCCACACTCAGACCATGCAATTGTCAGAGAAACCCCTGAAACTGCATCTTTATCATCTCTGTTCAAGCTTCTCACGTCACTTATTTCTGCAAAATGCCTTAGTCTGATCCCTCACTAAGTATAGTGCCACATTTAAGTGGCAGTTAATGTTGAAAATTATGACAATGATGTTGGATAACTGACTAAAGATGTTTTCATTACAAGAGAGCTGGTCAGCTTCAGCGAGCACAGTAGAAGTTGCCACTGCTTTATGACTTTTAAAAAACACAGTGTATGTAGATCATAATGGATTTTAAAAATAATTCGTGAAATGAATATGCAAGTTTTTTTGACAGCAAGTTTTTTTTCACTGTAGAGGCAAAATCAGATGAGAGCCTCTAAGGTGGATTTAACAGGGATCAGAGACAGGCAAGGAAAAAACAATGAGAGATCCAAAGATTTTATGAAACCTGGTGAGATTGCAAACACTGAGTTGGGCCTTGAAGCTCAGAAGACATAACCATAAAAACAGCCATCTCTTGGGGGACTGTCTGACACCAGAATGAATTCCTGCGTGAGCTAAGGGCTTTCTCAGACCTCAGCACCTTTTGTTCCAAGAGCAAGGATCCCCTGTAGTCTTACTTTGTTTAGAAGAAACACAGAGCATAGGCGTTGGAAAACAAAACACAATGAAACAAAAAATACACCCCAAACCCTCAGCCAATCCATTCTGATGGGAGAAACTCTTTCACCAAGACAAACTGTCTCTCTCCGGGAAGAGGCCGACCCCCACCTCGCTACAGCCTCCTTTCAGGCAGTTGTAGAGGGGGACAAGGTCTCCCCTCAGCCTCCTCTTCTCCAGACTAAACAACCCCAGTTCCGTCAGCCGCTCCTCATCAGACTTGTGCTCCAGACCCCTCACCACATTTGTGGCTCTCCCCTGGACATGCTCCAGCAACGCAACGTCTTTCTTGTTCAGCCCAAAACTGAACACAATATTCAAGGTGTGGCCTCACCAGCACCGAGTACAGGGGCATGATCACTTCCCTACTCTTGCTGGCCACACTATTCCTGATACAAGCCAGGATACCATTGGCCTTCTTGGCCACCTGGGCACATTGCTGGCTCATATTCAGTTGGCTGTCAACCAGTACCCCCAGGTCTTTTTCCACCAGGCAGCTTTCCAGCCACTCTTCCCCAAGCCTGTAGCATTGCATGGGGTTGTTGTGACCAAAGTGCAGGACCCGGCACTTGGCCTTGTTGAACCTCATACAGTTGGCCTCGGCCCATCAATCCAGCCTGTCCAGGTCCCTCTGCAGAGCCCTCCTCCCCTCAAGCAGATCGACACTCCCACCCAGTTTGGTGTCATCTGCTAACTTACTGAGGGCACACTCAATCCCCTCGTCCAGGGGGGGATTTATCATTCATAAAGATATTAAACAAGACCGGCCCTAGAACTGAGCCCTGGGGGGCACCATTTGTGACCAGACGCCAACTGGATTTAACTCCATTCACCACAATTCTCTGGGCTTGGCCATCCAGACAGGTTTTAACCCAGCAAAGAGTACACCCACCTAGGCCATGAACTGCCAGCTTCTCTAGAAGAATGCTGTGGGAGACTGTGTCGAAGGCTTTGCTGAAGTCTAGGTATACGACATCCACAGCCTTTCCCTCATCTACCAGGCAGGTCACCTGGTCATAGAAGGAAATCGGGTTGGTCAGGCAGGACCTGCTTTTCATGAACCCATGCTGGCTGGGCCTGACCCCCTGATTGTCCTCCATATGCCCGTTGATCACACTCAAGGTGAACCACTCCATAATCTTCCCCGGTACTGAGATCAGGCTGACAGGTCCATAGTTCCCCAGATCCTCCTTACCCTCCAGTAATCTGGGACCTCCCCTGTTATGCAGGACTGCTGATAAATGATGGAGAGTGGCTTGGCAAGCTCCCCTGCCAGCTCCTTCAGCACTCTTGGGTGGATCCCATCCAGCCCCATAGACTTGTGGATGTCCAGGTGGCATAGCAGGTCAAAAACTGCTTTTTCCTGGATTATGTGAGATCATGTGACAGATAGTAGATATGTTCCTTGAGTAACTACTCAGATACCACAAGTACGATTGTAAAATAAGAACAGCTACAGAACAGATATTCAGATCAATGAATGGGGCAAGAGGAGTACATGAACACTCCTATGTACTTTAATAAAGGAACAAAGAGATGTTGAAAGTGATAGATAAGCTAACACTGATAAAGAGGAAATAAATTTATGTACAGTGTAACAAGCTCATCACGATTTAAAAAGATCAGACATATATATACACATATAATATGCATATTTAATATGTATATACACACACACATATATATGTATGCATATGAAGACATCTAGACACCTTAGATTGTGTACGACAAGTGATTATAAAGGGTATAAGCACTTCTAATCCAGAAGAAAATCTGAATCATTCTTACCCATAGGCGTGCAAATCCCTGGGGTCCATCAGCTATTCCTAACAGATACCAAGGAGTTCCCAAAGAACAATTTTGCTGTCAGTAGCCCCAGCTTTGCTGTGACAGAATTGCCATTCCTTTGGGAAAAAAACACCCGGGGACTGCAATTCAAGCCAAACATGACATATCACTGATCAAAGGGAGGGGGCATAAAAAAGACACTTTGCCATCTGGTCAGATCCTGGAGGAGAAGTTCTCCTCTGGGAGAAGTCTCCTGAGCCCTGAGACATCCGACCCTGCCCACCAGTGCCTCAGGTCCCTGAACACACTCTTGGTCCAGTGCTGCATGGTCATTCCCCAAAGCCATTTGCTTCTGTTCAAGAGGTAAAGCAGTATGGGTCTTACAGCACGGGTGTCGGATCCTTTGCTGAAATGCCTTTTCAGAAAGTTTTCTCTTCCCTTTACTGATGACCACTCTCTGTTTTTCAGGTTGTGTTATAGGGGGTGTGTTTCTTCACATGAAATACAAACAGAAAAATGAAAATAAGACCTATCAGAAAGATGCAAATGATAATTCTGAACTCAATAGACTGAATTAATGACTGTTTCATCAAGAGACAAAAATGCCCTTTGGGTTGGGAAGGAGTGAGCTTCATCACTCCCAAAGCCCAGAAGTATACGATCACAAACTGAGGATACACACATGCAAAAGCAGGCTCCCAGGGCTTTGTCCTCACTTTTGTAGGTAATACTATTCAATCAGTCATGAAAAAAAAATGTACATAGACTTCAGCAGCCTCCATTAACAAGAATATCAGCTTTGACTGAAGTGTTAACTCATGACAACACGAAATGCTGAGCTCCTGCAAGGATCAACACATGGGACCAGCCTTCAGCCTTCTTTTTTTGTCAGCTGACGTAAATACGGACTTTCCAGAGGACTACATTTTATCTAACTGCACATCTTTGGCTCTTTCCACCTCCGTAAGTTACTGAATATCAAAATGGGGAATGAAGTCCTGTGCCACATTTGAAGATGTCCCGTGAAGTCTCAGGAATCTCTCTGACTCTAAGCAAAGGAGCTCCCAAACTTATTGCAATTTGTAATCTGCCCAGGGTCATGCCTGCTTACATTATCCTGGTGAATTTGTGCTAGCAATATTAACTAGCAGTGTGACATTTCAGTTTTTCATTTTTGATATCCACAGAGTATAACCAGTTTGTGAAGCACCATGGCCTTTCACTACAATTTCTATGTTAAAAAATACATGTTGAGTCTTATCTCATTGGGTAATGTGCTGTTTTATGATACTGCTGCAAGTATTATTCATGCCTCTATATATTAGATAAGAATAAAAATATTCTTTAAAGGTTTTAGTGTCTGCCTATTATATTAAAAAAAAAAAAAGATAGGTAGTGCATGAGAGCAAACCATTGCTGCTTGGTTATCTATTGTATTTAACCCTCACTTTTGCATAATGCAGATTAAAAACAGCTCTCAGGCCAGAGTGATACGTGTCCGGCTGATTCAAGATGTAATGATTACTGGAGGCATTTGTATCTTGGTTTCAGTAAAATGTATTTGAGCCCAGGATGACACTCAGCGAAGGAAAGCCTTTCTCCTGACAGCGAAGGAAAGCCTTTCTCCTGACAGCATGCCTATAGAAGGGCATTTCTGGTGACAGCTTGAGGGAGGCTTTTCTTTTAAGCTATAAATAAAAGCTGACAAATATTGTGTTAAACTGAAAAGACAATATACTTTTGAAAACACTGAAGGAAAGGTCATATGGAAAAGAGTATGCAGGATTTTTTTAATAGCTTTTGCATGTAGCACAGAACTAGAAAGAAAAGAGCACTTTTTTGGTAGCATTGCATTATAATAGGTTTTCCTAGAATGCTGCCAGCAAAAACTTTGCTTTCGGGCTTCAGCGACACAACCCAATTGTTGTATCTCTTACCCCAGCTTCCCCAGCTGTTGGAGCTCTGTTATTTGCTGTGGGGCTCACTGCTGGAATGTATTTATTTTATGATGGGAATGCAATCCATTATATTTGGAAAGTATGACATTCAGTTACGTCAGTGTATCCAGGGATTGGGATTAGTATATTGTTTTATAAATAAAGGAGCCAAAGTTCAGGAGTCGTTGTACTTGTGTATATCAATATGGCTTTATCTGAAGATGGGGAAAATGTGCAGAAGTTCCACTTTGCTTTATCTCCCTGACCTGTCTTTCTGTTTGCTAATTTTGCTTAAAAGCATCTTGTGTTTTCAACAATTTCTTTTCTGGAGACGGGTCAAAAATTTATTGTCTGATTTACCTACATTCATGGCTGGTTTATCCCTTTCCTCAGCCTACAGAGGCACTGCCTCAATTCCTTGTATCTCATGGGGTAATTCACTACCCAGTTGTCCTTAGACTGGTGGATAGCAGAGCTTCCAGGACAAACTAAAAAGTCCCCCCTCCTCAGGTTCTTGACCATGTCTTCAGCCTTGAAGACTTAGATTCTCTGTGCATTGAGGGTCACGCCTCCTGCAGGCAAAAGTTTGTGTGTGGTAGGAGAGGTCTGGATGAAACCACCTCAGAGTGCTCCCTCTGCAGTGGCTGCCCTGGGCGAGCATCCCTAGGGGCTGAGCACGCTTTCCCTCGCTGCTGCAATGGCCCCCTGACAGCCCACGCTCCTGCCTGCAGCACAGCACAGCCAGGGCCCGCAGCACCCTGACCACCCCACCCCACTGCCAACCTGCATCCCCTTCCCCACCCCACTTGCCCAAAGTCCCCTGCACTCGAGGGATGTGTCATGAGCGTGCTTGCATGGACGTTACCCAAGCGATGCAGCCGCTAGTTAACCTGCATCTGGAGCACCAGGCGCTTCTTAGTGCTTCTTGTACTGCGCATTAGTCCTACCCTAAAAAAAAACAAAAAAAGAAAAAAGAAAGGAAAAACCCCATTTCCAACCCTACCACAAGTATTCTCATTTTCTTCACCCTCCTCCTGCCTGCCTGCCTGCCTGCCAGGAATTCCCCCCCAGCCCTCCAGGGATTTATTTTAACCCAGCCTTGCTCTGGCTCCTCCAGTGGTTCAGTCTTTTTTGGGAGCCAGGAAAAAGCTCTCACCCAGCCTTAACCCTCCCCCTGCAGAAGACTGCTGCCCCTGGTCTCCTTTCCAGAGGACAAATTCCGTTTTCTTTGGGTCTCTGGAGAGGAAGAGAAGCAATCCTTGTTATTGTTCCTTTCCCCCAGCCTCAGCTTGTTCCCAGGTCCCCGCAGGAATGGCCGATATGAGGATGTTCTGTCCTTGTACATTACATTTTGCTCTGAATTCAAGTTTCAAGGGATGAGCAGTTCTTTTTGAGGTCCTCAAATTCCTGTCAATGTCTGTTAGTCACTGCACCCTCCAAAGTAGTTTCACTGACATTTCTTGGTAAGAACTAACAACACGTAACCTGCACTTTACACGTAAAAGTGTAAAGATGCAGACAGCACTGAAACCAGAATTTAGCACAAACCTCAAAAAAATATTTCTCTGAAGTTGGCCACATTGTATTTTTTTTTAAAACACTTTGAAATGTTGGCTTATATCTGGTTTTTTATGCTTGAATAATAGGTATGGCATACCAGCATGATTTGCATGCATATATGATTCACTACAACGAAACTAGTAAGGTCTGCGAGCATTAAAACTGAATTAGTGTTTTAAGTGCATGATACTTAAAATGCTAGGGGAGCTAAAGCTCTCCTACTTTATAGCCACAAATTATTAGAACAACTTCATAGACTGATAGCAGAGGGACAAATTTTGAAAACAGTGTTGATGGCTTTGGACTCCAGTTACAACCTTTCTGCCAAGAACAATATCACACAAGAAGTCCAGTGATGAAATCTGCTGAGAATATGTCCTCTGGCGTGGTTCCTTTCCATGGCTCCTCCTTCAAGCACGCAACATCTCATTACGAGCTTCACAGATAGCAAAAGACTTTGCAGTGCTTTCTAATTCTTTTTTACAAGATTAGAGACTTATCAGGGGTTTGATTATCTCCAGGATTAATGACATATTAATTAAACAGCCATTATGCCTACTTTTCAACTCTTTTGTAAATACAAACTCAAAAAGTACGAACAAGATTTTTATCTGGGTTTATAGAACAAATGCCACAGAACGGCAGCTCTTAGGGGAGGGAAAAAAAGTGTCCTTAATCTGTGTTTTGAAGTATAGTTCATCAGCTCTGCTCACGCGATCAAACGCACAAGGCCGTACCCAGCACACACAGCTACTGCTTTGCCTGTTCATGGGGATAAGGACCGGGCAGCCCCCGGTGGCATGGCGATGGGTGGGGAGGGCTGCGATGCTGCCTGGCCAGCTGGAGCTGCTGGCGCTTGCAGGGGGACAGACTCCCTCCAGACAGGGTGGGACGTCTGTACCTGGGGAAGGCAGCGAGAAACGCATCTTCACCCGCAAAACAGCTCTGTAGTGAGCTCTGCTCTTGGGGTAGGTAGGTAAGCATCGCATGGAGGAGCACAGAGGGAAGTTTAGGCAGGATTGGGAAGCTGACCTGTAAAAGGGAACTGGTTTTGGCTGAAAGAGGGCAGGTACTCTCCCATTACTTCTGTGTAGCATCTAATCCTAGATGCACCTCACTAGGAGTTTAGAGAAGACTTTACAGATTTGCCAGAACTGGGAGCTGAAATTAGCTAATTGCTTGTGCAAACTAGAGCAAAGAACAACATAGTCTAGAGAGTTACCACTCCTTCTAGATACTGGAGATCTTCTGCCCAGTCTCTCAATGTTACTTCAATGGCATTCACCCCCTCAGAGAAGACCTTCTTTTCTGTTGGCTGACTTTGGGCCTTGAACAGGACCCAGAAATTTGCAGCTTAAAGTAGAAGACAAAGTCCTAGAGCTACAGGTTGCTGCAACGGCAGGGGAATGTCCTCTGTCAACAGAGCTTAGAGAAAGGAGGCACCACAGCCTGTGACCAAAGGGTTACGATGATGTACATGAGCATCCATTAGCACAGTAAAATACCATGGAAGGGTTCAGAAAGATGGACAGCGTCATCATGTCAAGGATCCTAAGCCAGGAAAAACACTTTGAGTTTCTTAATTGTGTATTCCAAGAGCAAAACAGATGATTAAAAGTGAACCGGCAGCAGATCTTTGAACTCATTGCTGAACAGCATGTTCCTCCACTGATAGTGGAGGATAGTGAAAGGTTGTACAGCGCAGGGAGATGAACTGCTCGAGCCTGTTCTGTTTACAGATTGAGGGCCAGAAATAGGCGATGCGTACAGTCGCAAAAGGCTATTATGCCACAGATGAGTTCAAGGGGGAGAAGTGTTGTGCGTTTGCAGCTGGGAAGATGACAACTATTATTGCCGTGAGCTGCATGCATGCTTATATCCAGTTCATCCAGTTATGATATCAGTGTCATAAGTGGACTCATCTTGTCATTCCTGAACCATTCCGTGAGATATACGTTAATGCTGAATATGGTCAAGAAATGTGTTTCCACAACCTCTTCTTCCAGTGCACTGCTCCTCAGGACTAACATATAACTTGCAAGTCCTCTAGGGAAGTGTAGGTCTAGCAAGTCATTCCTGGTTCTCAGAACTGAGCAGGAAGAATAAAAGCCAGAAGCTAGAAACCAGGGGTGCTCTCTGGTGCAATAATCCCAGTGCCAGGTGAAGAGCGGGGGTTGGTGTCCAGTTGCTAACAGTCAGCATAGGCATACCTTCTGTCACCTCTCCACCTTCCAGAAACAGCCTCTTTGAAGACTTTGCACCCTGAGGTCTTCATTGCAGGACTCCATTTGAATTATTTCTTTTGCTTGGCAAAGCTGAAGTGGCAAAACAGCTGAGCCCACAGGACATTTCCTCAGGTGAGACTCATGGAGGGTTTATTGCATCCCTCTGCACAGTGCAGCGAGCTCACCTGTGCTGCTTGTCCCTTCCCAGCAAAGTCCTCACTCAGCACTGGAAGGCCATTGCGGGAAGGCAGTGGAGGACTAGCAGTACTAGGGTGAAGCCAGTAAAGGCTTACTGACTTGATTTACCTGAGTTACAACTCAAGAAAACTTGCAAAACCAACTTGTCCCAGCTGGCTCAGCAGACTAACAAGAGGTAGGGACTGGCATAGCTGGTGCTGTGTTGCTTTCACACATTCAGTCTAGACAGTGAAGGGTTACCAGAAGAGGTGATGGTGAGAGAGCATCAGAGGGCAGCATCAAACAAGACATGCCAAAAAATTAGAGCAAAAACGTACTCTGAGCCCCAGTTGAAGACCTGCATAAGTGGCCGTGCGTGAAGGCTGTGCAGCTCCTCTGAATCAGAACTTCGGAACCTCCTGGAAGGAGGTTGCTGAACTTCAGGATGCACATGCATCCTCCCAGGTCTGGTGGCCACAGAAGGGTCAGAGGCAGCAAGTGCCAGTGGTTTCAGAAGCCGGGGCATTTCCAGCTGCCACCCCTCTTGAGCTCCTTTTGCTGGTGTCTGCTGCTGCTGCCAGACCTGACTGAGAAGGCGCCTGTTTTTCTTTCATTTTTGGCCAACATCTGAAAGACTACAGATTTTTTTCTTACCCTTTGGATAACTCTGTTGATGTTAAAAT